ATTTGAATGAAAGAAAATTCAAATGTAATGAAGAAAATTGTGGCAAAAAATTTAATTATAAGCCACTTCTCACTCAACACAAACGCATACATTCGGGAGAAAAACTATTTGTTTGTGAATTCAAAAATTGTAAGAAAATTTTCAAACAAAATGCTAATCTATGGAAACATAAACAGAGATATCATCTAAATATCCGTAAATTCAAATGCACTTCAAGTGATTGCGAAAAAACATTTGGACATAAATATGAATTAATAAATCATACAAAACGTATTCATTTAAATGATAAGCCATTCAAATGTATTGAATATAATTGTCACAAATCATATGCAGTTAAATGCGGGTTAGATCACCATTTAAGGATGTGTCATAAAATTAAATGATATTTCAACGCTAATTATAATTTACATTACTAATAAATTACTAGTAATAATGTTTTATTATTTTACCACTTTATAATTAATGGAAATATTTTTGTATTGCGATTGAAATGTTAGACGAGGAAAGAAGGGTTAATTCAACACAAAAATTTATTTGTGTTATTAAAGAATGTGGTAAAGATTGTAAGTCTAAACAATCATTAATCCATTTCTACAGTATATTTATAATTAAATTTGTTTATTGTAATTAAATTAACGTAACATAAACAAAAACTTTATATTAATTATTTCATTGAGTTTCATTATTTCTGCTACTTTATTAAGGCTCATGGTTAATGGCAAAAAATTAATTCATTCAGAAATAAAATAATTTAAATATAGTTTTTAAATATAACAGATTTAATTAGACACAAAAATATTATTCATTTAAAATTGAGATTTATTTATGATTTCAATGAATGCCACAAAGTTTTAGAGAATAACAACATTTATTTCGACACAAAAGTTGCGTTCATTTGAATGAATAGAGATTCAAATATAATTGTGATAAAAACTACACTTCAAAACACAATAAAAATTTTTACAAACGCATACATTTGTGAGAAAAATCTTGATTAAAATTTTATTGACATTTGTTAATGAATATAAAAAGTATTTAAAATTATAAGTCAATAATTTTGGGATAATTATAATAGTATTCATAATTAAAATCTCGACTTATGTTATAAGAAAATCAAATCAAATCATTAATAAAATATTAGTTTTAAACAATTTCAAAGTCAATACAAAAATCATTTCTAAATCATAGTCTTATTTTGAATGCGTGCCAACACTGGCCACGGATTCGCTGTCATCCGAGTCTTCGACCGATTGTCTGATGCCTTTGAGTGCTGTCAACGATATCTCATTCTCAGTGACCAAAGCCTTCATTTTGTCCCTTTCATCGAAAGCCCAATCGCGTCGACGCCGACAGACCTCCACCTCATTGTGCGCTTCCCTGAGCTCTGTCTGTAAGCGCACCACTTGTTTGCGAAGTGACGCCAACTCAGCGCTCGGCTTATCTATGGTATCACCGCTTGATTTGAACGTCGGGTCACTCGTGTCCGGACACACAGGGCTATTGGCCGGCGACAGCACGAGTGGTGCGCTCGTCGTCGACACCCTCTTAGCCCAAGAATGAGCCGATGGATAGCTGTGCCGATACTCGTGTCCGGACGGCCAGTGAGGCGGTGATCGAGCACTGGTCGCCGCCATTGCCGACGATATCTCTCGCTTCAGACTCTGGATCTCGTCGATGAAGGTCTTCATCTCGACCTCCATTTGTCTGGTTTTGGTGACCAGTGTTTGCTGTCCTTCCCGGAGATCATCGCACTCTTTGCGGACGGAATCCCTTTCAGACATAATCGATGAGCACTTCTGATGGCCGGCATTGACCTCATCGGCCAGTCGTGTCATCTCTTTGGCCGCTTTGATCTCTTTCATGTACTCATTTCTCTGGTGCTCACATCTGGTCAGCTGTTCCTTCAGATCGTTGACCTCTCGAAGGGCTTTATCCCATTGTCTGACGGCTTGAGTGCACTGTTGTTTGAGTCCATTCATCTGAATGATGACAACGTCGAGCTCACGAGTGCTCTTCTCTAAGCACTTACGGTATGTGTGACTCTCCTCCTGAGCCGACTCGAGCGCCGATACGTATTCTTCGTGAGTGACCACGAGATCCGAGTATCGCTTCCGGAGGGACTTGTGTTCAGCCATTAGTGTCTCGTATTCTCCACTATTGGTCTCATCTCTGGTTTTGTCTGAATTAGTGGTCAATTGATTGTGGGATCCGATCGATGAACAACTCGACGACGAATCACTCACTGAATGCCTGTTTTTATTTCAATATAATTGTTATAAAGGTTTTTAATTTAATAATTATTGATAACTTATTTTTCACTTTAATTGTAATTAAAATCAAACCTAATATTCTTTGCATTGATTTCTTGAGTCAAAGTATTGACATCGGATTCAATGATATGTTTCGATGTATTTAATGCCGACAACTCTTCAATCAATTCACTAATTTTTGTGGACATTTCACACAATTTGTGCTTCAAATCTGTGGCCATATTTTGATTACTGAAAATAATTATGAATTTATATTAACGTTAGAATAAATGTTATAAAATTTAAGTTTAAATAACAATTATATCAGACCTTAAGTTTGAAACCAATGTCGACAGAGTATACACCGTTTGTTTTAAATTATTATTTTCGGTAACCATTGTCTCCATTGACTCCAATGATGTCTTGAGCTCTACTTTCAAAGCCTGTACTTCTGTCTCATTCCTTGCCTTCAAATCCGATATCTCTTGAGTTAAACAACTTTTTTGAACCGACGATTCACTCAATTCGGTGACCAATTCTTGATTACTGCGAAAGATATGAGTATTTTGTATAACAAATAAATATTAGTTTCAATAAAAACTCATTTGTATCGCGAATATAACAAACCTTTTCTCAGATGTAATCAATTGTTGTCTCAAACTTTCCTTCTCTTCAGTCATTGTCTGCATTGAATCCAATGCTGTGTTGAGCTGTACTTTCAATGCCTTCACTTCGGACTCATTGCTTGCCTTCAGAGCCGACATCTCTTCACACAATTCACGACATTTTCGGTCCGACTCTTCACTCAGACTATAGTTTCAAATAAACATTTAATTAATAAAATATATTTCTTAAATATCAGTTATAAAAACATACCTGGATGATTGTGATGACTGGGAATTAACGGGTTTAGGCTTCAATATTTGCGACACTTTTATATCAAATTTTGTGTACAAATCCGATAATTTAAAATCATCATGGTACATTCTATACCCTCCCGAGTTATCTGATATAGTTATTGATTCGGTGTTTTGGTTGAAATAATCCCAGTTTTGTAGACAACACTTGAGATCTTCCACTGTTTTAACATCTTGTGGAAAAACTAATCTACAACTATTCCCATCAAAACGGTTTACACAATGTTCACCACCTCTGGCCCGAGACATAGTGAGACTCATTATTTGATTTGTTAATTATGGTAAAAATAATGATATCAAAATAGCTTTGGTTTTAGCAAATTGTTTGATATATAGTCAGTGTATGCGCTCTGAGATCACAATCACTACTAAACTGATGGTCAGTTTGGGGTTCACTAATGGGCGCACACTTTCTGTACTATCTATTGATTGGTTCGTTTGATATATATTTAGCATTTTTGGTGAACTAATTGTGTAAAGCTTTAAATAAACACAAATAAAATTCACATTTTAACTGCAATACAAGTGTTGAGTCCATACAAACACAGAAGGGCTGAGAGTCTGGGAAACCGGACTTTCAAATGCATTGTGCGCTCAAAGGCTTTGAGTCAAAGCATGTGATAAATAATCCCTATTTCCAAACGATTAATACCTTAAATATCATTCAAACACAACAACAGTGACTAAAAATAATTATGGAAACCCTCTAGGTCCTTTGGTATTGGTTGGCATTACTTTCTAAACGAGGTTTCAGTTCACAAACACATGCTTTCAAACCATTGTTTCAATTCCACAAAAGTACAATTTAATTAATTTTAAGTCTATATTTTGAAATTTATTTAATATTTTTTACATTTAACAAAAATGTGTTCAAAATTAACGAGTGTTTCGTTGATTGATATGAAAAGTAAATTAAATGCAATGAAGAGTTTGTGTGAAATAATAGACAAAATTCAGTGTATTTTGAATACAAATAATAGTGTTTTGTGT